GTCATTTGTTTTTTCATGAATAACAAATTAAATACATTTGAAGTGCATGTTCATCATCTACAGTATATCTGATTTCCAGATTTCCCTAGACTTTCTTTTTCTTTCTGTTTTTATTGTGTGGTTTTAGAAGGGTTATCAAAGGGATCGTAGCCTTCACAAAAAATATTCTCCTCCATTGTTTTATCATCTTTCCTAATTTTTGTTCACATTTTGTTTTCTTTGTCCTATAAATGTTTTGTTGCTCCTAATCTTTTACTTTATTGATCCTTTGATCACACTTACTCAGTTTTATATATACACAGTACAGTATCTAAAGTCTACTTTAGCATGGACATTGACTCAAAATTCAGAAATAATGCTGTTGTCTCTCAGTTATTGCACTGCTCAATTTCTAGCAACAGACACACTGGCAGAATTGTTAACTATTGAGAGTTGTTTTGCATACTACTATACTAACAGGACTTCTGGATTATATTGAGCCTTTGGTGGTGATTCATAGTCTCTTTAGAGCAGGGGTGACCAACCTTTTTTAATGAAAGATCTAATTTTTCATTTGCCAGTCCAGCGCGATCTACCAGTATGAATTTGAAGCTCTGATATAAGAAAAATAGACTGTGGGCACATCAGTACAATAACGATACCCATCACTAAAATGAGAGTAAATAAAAGCAAGTGACTTATGCTACACTGAACAAGTAATGTTCCCCATTTTAGAAAAAAGAATATCCTACTTTAATGTGAGAAATCACTTTTTAACGTGTTAACTCTGCTGATCATGACAATGACATTTTTATTGTGTCCCTGGAGCTCGGCATTCAGCTCATCAAGTAGTTCAGTCAAGTCTGTGAGGAATGCTAAGACCAGAAGCCACTGGTTATCCTCTAATTGGGCATATTCACCATGTTTAGACGACTTGAGAAACTCTTTGATTTCAGACAACAGCTGTCTGAACCTCACCAAAAACAAGAAGTCAGCAGCCTTAGCAAACACTTTTTTTATTACTTCTCGATCCCTGAATGACTTGTTGTGTTGAGCCAGAACGATGCGATGATTGCCACTTTCCCTCTTGTATTAGGCCTCATGAAAACTGACTGCTATTAATTGAAATTTTTTATTTTTTCCACTTTTCTTTTCCGTAACTCACTTTTAGCGTGAATGTCCACATCATACGTTTTGTATGAAGTTTTGAAATGTTGTTCTACATTTCCCTTTTTCACTTACTGTAGATGCTAGCATTGCAGATTTAAATACGAAAGTACAAAAAATAATCAGACTCCCATTCCTTGTGGTAACGGTAAGTTATCGGTCTCTTTGCTTCATCTTTGTCGCTCAAACACTACAACTATCAAATAGGCAATAAAACTTATCACACTCTTGGGGAATTTGTCACGGCCAGTCTGTTTCACTCAACTATGCATTTTAGCGAATGTGGGGTTCGTGCCACGATAACCAAGAGAACATTCTTGGGTAGCGAACACAACACGGAGCCTTTTGTCAGTGTCAGGCAGCACTCAGGGAAGATGCTTTTACTACCCATTCGACAAGAGTTAAACACACACAAGGGCAGTAAAATGTATGACATTGCATGCACAGATCTGAATTAATTATTTGACTGTCAATAAAAGTAAATATTCAAGTAGCCCCTTCATTTTTTGCCCAATATTCTTGCGATCGATCGACTGGGAAGCACTTGTCAATCGGGATCGACTGGTTGGGCACCCCTGCTTTAGAGGGTCCCCAGAGAACATTTAATTTTAGATGTTGCTTTAGACCAATACATTTAGACATGGGTTCAAAGAAGTTGTCTGTGTAATGAGATAAGGAAGTGATGTAGCTAAGGTGACATGGTATTAATGGGGGATCTCAATTTCAGACACATAAATTGGGATACTGTCATGAGAAATGTAGCAGATGAAATTGAAATGATTGCAATAAGTAAAGATTGCTTCTTAATCTTGGAAAGGCAGGTGTAGGTGTAAAGGCTTGGGTAGGTGTCCTTAGTGACCTAATCTTTTTAAATAGCCATAGAAACAGTGCAGCAATGAATGGATCATATGTGACATATAATATGATCATGTTTGCTCTGTACCTCTGGAGGCCAAGTCTAAATTGAGTTCATATTTTAGAGAGCCAGACTATGAAGGAATGAGTCAGATCCTGTACACATTCAGATCACATTCAGAATTAATAGAAGAAAGATGCCTACACTTCAAAGACAATGTTAAATGGCTCCAAATGAACTCAGCCCTAAAACAACTAAGTTAAATGCTCAGAGAAGCAGGAGGGTGGAGGAGACTACTATTACTGCACTGGTCTAAATAAAAATGGTGTGAAACAGAGACAGAGCTGTGACTTTTTGTCTGTATTAATTTCATCATCATTTCCATTTCCATCTGTGTGTTTTATATGGATAAATATGCTGTTTCTCTGTCAATGTAAATCCTGTAGTAGAAATACAACAAATATTGCCTTTTAAGGCAGAACAGAGAAGCTCACCTCTTCTTCTTTCAGCTGGTGTACATTTTAGTCGTAGGCTGGGTTACTTGAAATGGGTAAAGACAGAAAATCTCTTGGAATGAGGAGCATGTTGCTGGCAGTGATGGTGCACATAGCAGCCCCAGCTGAATAAACCTGACTGCCAGCCTAGACCAAAACCTGAACTGCTTGTGTAATCATCTCCCACAGCTTGCCTAGAATAGATGTACCGTTACTAAACTAACAGGACTGTTTAGCTTGGAGAGCTGCTATGCAGTAATTTCCAAAACTTTAGCGTAGCTTCACTTTCTGCATTCAAAGAGAACTCTGTAAGTTAGGTTTTGTGTTTTTAACAATTGTAATTTTTGTGTTCAACTTAATGATAATTGAAGCCGTCAGGCTAATTCTGTGTTCCTGAGGAAGCAGGATGTAAGTTAAAAATTGCAGCTGTGTAAATTACTGTTCATATGGAAGAGGATAAGTATAGAAAATCTTATTGAAAAGTAAAGCTGCCACAACATTTCAAGGAACTGTTCTGTGTGTATCCTGAATATTTATATTTCATAAGCTGTGGCTAATGAAGCAGTTAGGAAATCAGAAATATTTATTATTTTCATTTCTTTCATCAAATCAGACCAATAGCTAAATCTTTTTTAAGTATATACATCTGTAAAAACAATTCTTTAGTATTGTGTAACCCAGGAGGCATCTTTCATTTCCCTGTCTTTCAGTGTAGGTGCTTTAACTAAAATGTTTTTATTTGAAGGCCTATCATTTTCTGGATCAGGATTGAGCTGCAAACATTGAAGGTTACAGAAAAATAGTATTACTACCTCAACTGCTGCCAATTTTTTTTAAAAAGCTAACACGATCCAAAAGGTTCCAACAATGTTCATTCCTATAAATAAGGCTAAAAATTCAACTGCTGAAACCTTATTCATTGACACAGAATTGTCTGACAATTGTCAGATGTGCAGTTGGTTCACCATTGAAACAATCATGTAGAACAATATTGTGTCGTTTATACTGTAAAGCAGCTGTTTATTGTGGTTTGTTTGTCCAGTCCATTACAACATTTTACAATTTTCAATCTGTGTCAAGATAATGAGCACAAGTGCAGTTTTTCCTGCTCTTCATTGTAAGGCGGCTAGGTTTGCTCTGCTTGTGTCAGTGGTGTGTCCCTTTTCCCAGTCGCGTGTGGACATACAGCAGCAGGGGATGGATGATTTTTTTTCTTCCAACCCTGTATCCGCTAGTCTTTTCTCTGTCGGTTTCTGATTGACTCTCTGTTTGTGGGAGGTCCATTCAGGCAATCCTGAATAAGATAACTAAGTTTTCTGTCCCAGTCTGTAGCAAGGTGAACATAAAGAATGTGCAAACCTTTTTTTTCTGTAGATGATGGAAACCCATTTTTTCTTTAATTATCCTTAATAAACAGATATAAGATGACAGATTTAAGCAAAAGACTCCATAACCCATGGTTACCTAATCTGTTGACAGTGTTGTCAACAAGCTGAAGAGGTTTAATAAAGATCCACAGTTCTGTCAGAAGCCCTTGAGCTTCAGTAAAGGAGGGAGTCTGAGTGACTATTTTTTAAATGTCTTATTCATGTTGGTAAGATGCAAGTTAATGACTAAACTACACACTTTATTAATTGAGTATTCATGGTGGTTCATCTGAATGCAGCTAATTGCATTAGAAGTGAATAAACTGGTTAAAATTCTTCTTATGTTTCATGTTATGAGGATAAAAATAAACACATTATATTCAAAGATTTGAAGCTACTGTAGTGCTAGTGAAGAAAAAATAACCTACTGTATGAACTACGGAAGTTTGTATTTTTCTTAATTATTATATATAAAAATAAGCCTAAGCTTAAATACAGTATATGATTAGAGAAACATACTGAGTTATATTAGCTTCACTGATGGTCTGGTTAAATATTGGAATGAGTCAACATAAACACCAAGGTCATTTTCACAGTCTGACAGTAGTAATGTGCTGTGCATTAACACTATTGCCTCCATGTAGGAATATAAGACTACATGGTAGATTTAGTTTTCCATGTGTCTGCCCAGGTTTGGACATACTACAGTCATAATCCTGTTGGATTACTTTTTCTACTGCCAGAGAGCTCTGCTCCTTCTCTAATGTTGTGTGACCTGCAAATCTGACAGGCTGGCTAAAGTTAATATTCTTGTGTCTAGCTCTCCCAACAAGATTTTTATTTTGATTATGGATACCAGCACACTGTGAAGTGAAAAGATCCAAAATGCTGCAACCAATCTAAATGAAAAAGAAAGGGTTCATTCTCATCCTGCACAATCCTGAGAGGGGTTTATAAATTGTGGAGAAGCGCAGAGGTAAAACTAAAAGCTGGAGGCTGGAGATGGAGGTGGGTGCTGCTCAGGATGACCGGGACCGGTCAGAGGAGCAGGGCGGCTGGCCAGCGTCACGGGTGGGGAAGAGCCGCACCCGTCCCTGCCCTGACCGCCCCCCCGGCTGACCGCTGTCCCTCCCGCAGCTCTGCGCAGCCGCTCCGGGCGCTCCATCGTCAACGGCAACTGGGCCATCGACCGGCCCGGGAAGTACGAAGGCGCTGGCACCATGTTCACCTACCGGCGGCCCAACGAGATCACGAGCACGGCCGGCGAGTCCGTCGTGGCCGAGGGGCCCACCAACGAAGTCCTCGAGGTTTATGTGAGTCACCCTGCAGGAGACCTCGTCGCGCCCCACTGCTTTAGGCACGGCCGTAATGACACTTACCCTTCACCTCCAAAACACTTTTCACATGGCGCTGTTCGGACTGATTTCACATCTTTCATGTTTTAATGCAATCTGGAAAGGAAAGATGTGTATGTGTGAATTAAACCTCTTCAGCAGAGTCGCCCCTCCTTTTGTGGAAGCTTTGAATCAGGTTACAGGACAGATGTTGAAAAGGACTCATCTGCGCGTTTTCTTGACCACTGATGATCCCAAACAAAAGCTTTAAACAAGGAGCAGCTACAGTGGGTTTTCAGATGGTCTCGCTTGTGTCTTGAAATGCTACGCCAGGACAAAGATTGCATGTTGTATTTTCTGACAGATCTGCAAGCAGAGGTTTTGAATTAGGGATTGTAAAGGGTAGTTGGCAGAATTACGTGTTGCAAAAACATTGGAAATTTAGGAAGTTATAAGGAGTCTCGATCTATTGACAAGATGCAATAAACATATTAATGTGGTCATTTAACTTTAGAATAAATAACATTCAGTATTGTTTTCCATATACTGTTTTAGAGTTTAAAGTAAGTGCATTAGAACTCTTAAGGGGCTCAAACCAATAATAATTCTTAATGAAATAAAAATTGCACTAAACATATTCTATATTCATGCTAAAGCAGACATTGAGCCCTGTAGTCAGACATCGGCAGTCCCAGTGTGGACTGAGACCCTCCAGCTGGCTGAGAGCGACCCGAGTCTCGACCAGAGAGCAATATGAAGGGATCTGGTAAGGATCCGCTGGACGGAATCCTCAGATCTCTTTTTTGCTAGCACCCAGCCAGCCTTGAATAACGCAGAGAGGACACGCATACTCTGCCTACTCTGTGCTCAGTGCCAGAATAAATGTATTCTTTCCAAATACAGACATTTGTTGACTTATTCTAGTCTCGATGGTACTTGCTTTTAGGACAGAAGGTTTTTAGTTGTGTGATGCAACAGTTGCAGTGTATACAATAGCAGGCTATCCATGATCCCCTCACACGGCTTTTGTGCTCTTAAGTCCTGTACCTGAATGGCACCCACAACTTAAAGAATATTGATTCTCAGGTCATGTGGGTTAAACCTTTCATCTGACACTGATGTCGCCTAGAATTTCAATGACATCTGTTCATCTGTCAGCCAGCTTGATAAGGAGGAGCTTCAGCAAGTTTTAGACGTTTCTTGAATTTCCATATATTTTACTGTATATACAGTAACTTTTCTATGGGAATAAAACTTGATCATTTCTTAAATTTCATATTTTATCTAAAGCCTGCATATCTGTTATTACAATACAAATATTTTGAAATAGCAAAGCATCATTTTGAATGTATGCAAATACAAACCCTTGAATCTCAGAAGTACAGCTCATGGATGTATCATAATTTCCATTTACAACAGACACTTTCCATTTGCTGTTAACTGTAGATTTTTGCATCTTTCTGGTGGTGGAAGTACAGTACAACAAATTAATTCTATCTAAGTGTTTTAGACAGAATGGCATAAGATCAGAGCAAAGTGAAAAAACATTCCACAGAGCACCATGTCATCTGAAAATGTTATAAAGTATTTCAGATGAGATCATGTTTGTGGAATATTTTTCACGATATTTACAGATTTATATTCGCGTTGGGAACTGTGTTAGTGGGAGAGCTGCAAAGGAACGAGGAGAGTTTAATTTCATGCTCTTAGTAGAGGGGAATAGAAAAACAGAGCTGTTTTGTGGAGTCTCTTCAGGTGTGAGGCAGATTGAGGCTGGGAGCAGGAATATGAGCCCCAAGACAAAAGCACGAACCTGTGAGAAAGCGAATGGGAGATGAGGTGAGATGGACATCTCGGAGAGCAGTTCCAGGGAAAGTGTGGAAGGCTGAAATCTGTAGTTGAAGGCAGAGATTTAGAAAGAACTCTGGCTCCTGGTGTGTTGATAGAGTAGGTCAGTGGATGATGGCTAGGAGAGGTGAAATGAGGAACTATTGGCTCGGACAGATCTGGCGGCCAGTCTTCATCCTGTTCCACCAGTTTAAATGGTTGGGCGACATCTGCAGAGATGCAGTAATTGAGGTTGCTGTATGAATGTGAGAGCCTCCAGGCAATCTTGAAATGGCCATAAGGCTTTTGTACTAGATATGTATTTGCAATTGATGCAGTAGTGTGAGTTGCAACACGCATTCTGTATACAGTATATCTATACTTTCAGATCGTTGCACGGATGACTACGTGTTAGTTCACTGAGCCACTGGTTATGAGAATTGTATACCACAATTAATTACTCTGTGCTGTTTCCAGATGATTTACCAGCAGCCCAATCCAGGAGTTCAGTATGAATTTATTGTGCCTCGTGAGAATCTGATCAGCCCCCATCCCTCTCCTGACAGAAAGCCAGGTGAGTTGCTTCTTTCCTCAGTGTCTGAAAACCTGCAAGCTTCTAGCTTAGTTAGTGCCATAACACCATCACTCATAACTCCATGACAATGAGGAAATGTTAGATCAAGGTGTTTCACATTCACCAAGCCATAAAATACAAATTGATGCTTTCTGGAATTTGATTCAACATTTATGACAGATACTGTATGCCCACGCATGGTGCAACTGTGAAATATTATTATGATTACAGCATAACATTTTTAGAATTTTTACACAAGACGCGAATTAATTGCTCATTGCATTATACAGTGCTTTTATTACCATTAACTCAGTCTGGAGGACACTGTATTTCCCCACACTATTTCACTCCACAGACAAGTGGAACGTGGCGGTGAAGAGAAATGAATTCAGTTACAATTCAGAATTATATTTCAGTTATTTAGTCCTCACATGCTAGTTCGGCAGCTGTAATTGGTAGTGCATGACAAGCACACTGTGTTATTTTTAATAATATTTTAAATACATTTGTGAGATTAGGGTTATTTGATTACTTCATTCTTTGAAGGCTTTGCAAAAGAAGTGTGATAATTACCTATTTTGAGTATAAATAATTAGTAATAAGAACCAGATTTTTTCATGCTTATAGAGAAGAATGCACATGAGAGAAAAGAACTGGATTTCCAGGGCTTTTGACCTGTAAAGGAGGAGAGTTGGGTTGAGCCCTGGAGCCTTGAGATCACTGCTACAAGCTGTGCAACACTGGCGCAGTGCCATTGGACCTGGGTGGTCTAGAGTTGGCCCAGTGTGCTCAGCCTGCCAAGCTGCAGTAAGTCCAGAGACCTGGCAGGTGCCTGTTAGAGTCGTATAACGCCTCTGTCCGATGCTACACTTTCTAGAGGAGCTGCTGGGCTAAAGCTATGAAAAACAGTCCAACCGGTGCTTACGTCTCATTCCTCTGTAGCAGTTAAGTAAGAGCGGATGAGGCACGTGATTGATTTTTTTTAAAGGTAACAGATATGTGCCGCTTTTGTAGAAAAGTAATACGGTAAGAAGCTGGGGCTGGAGACAGAGCGGCAGCAGAATTTTCATTTCAGCATGAGTTCTTGTTGTTGCGAGTCCTAAGCTCAAGGGTGGGTCTGCTGGTGCTGCTGGGCTCTTTCAGTGTTAGTCTTGACTCCCCAGGCAGCCACCTGAACGGTCAGTTTGGGCTGGAAGGCGATGCCGACTCGAGGGAAGAGGGGTCCGACCATCCCCATGGGACCCGCAGCCCCTCCCTGGCGCCCGAGCCCCCGAGGCGGCAGAGAGAGCACAACTGGAAGCAGCTGGGCAGCTCGGAGTGCAGCGCGAGCTGCGGCAGAGGTGCGCCTCACCCCTCACGGCACAGCCGCATTGCAGCTGGGGGTGCAAATCGGAGGAATCGCTTATTTTCCCGTTTTATAAGGAGCCGCGATATAAGGAGCCTCCGCAGCACGAGTGGCGGTTATGAGTGAATGGTTGAAGGGGCATGCGATGGGCGTTCGTCACCGTTCCTGATCGGAGACGGTCACAGTCATTGAGATAGTCTTAATTTGTACTAAAAGGAAAATATATATATTTACAGTATAGTGCAAAAACTGTTTTTCCGGTGAGTGTTCGATTTCGAAGCGGCGCTGAAGCCCGGTCCTGTGGCGAGCTCTCCCGCGCGTCTCACCGCCCCTCTCTCCCCGCAGGCGTGCGTTACGCGCGGTTCGGCTGCGTGCACAGAGCCACCCACGCCGAGGTGGCCGACAGCCTGTGTGACCCTGCCACCAAACCCGGGGCCGTGGAGGAGGCCTGCAACACCCTGGCGTGCCCAGCCTTGTGAGGACCCTCTCTGCTCACAAGCACCCGCCCGCGGCTTCGTTCTGCAGAATCGCTTCTTACGTCGATGGGGTTTTAATAAAGGACGCCCCTCCTCAAATATTTGAAGCCTGAAAATTAAATCCCCCTGTAATGCCACATATTAAATCACGGATTACAGTGTTGGAAAACACCTTAGCTTAACTCAACAGGAGTTTCTGGGCAGTTTTTTTTTGGCTGAATCCTAGCACAAGGAAAGCAGAGCAACATGTCTACTGGCGTTTTAACTGAAAACACTCCACAGCCATGCAGTTGTTTGTAAAGGCTCCATTACTGTAAGGTTAATTATTCCTATTTAGCACCAGCATGCAGCTTCTAAAATACAAGATCATTATAAATATTTAGTTATGTCTTTAATGACTCTATTGTAGCTTGTCTCAAGATGTATAACCTAACACACTATTTTATTACATAGTTAATTTGAAATAACAGTTGTTTAATTTCAGGATTTAAATTGATTTCTGAATTGCTTACTAGATTCACCAATATGTTTGCATCACAGGAAGATCCTGAACTTTTAAATGCTGCTACACATGCACTGAATATCAAATATTTTTGGAAAAATGGAGACTTAATGAAAGTGGAAGTGTACCTGTAGCTTTAGTAAGATGCTCTGGCTCCAGGGAAGACCAAGAGAAGTTCTTGACTGAGGCTACAGTGTCTGAAATGTTTTTATATGCCTTTATATTGAAAACAACACACAAAACCTGCAGATTCTTATCCCTCAGACAGGAAAATAATTTCACCGACAGTCTTTACACTCGAACCTG